GCCACTAGCCCCATGCGGCTTTGGAGCCCTCGTCTGAATTTAGATGTGTTATAAAGGGAATATATATGCCAGGGAGGTCTAAAACAGTGTAAAATGTCCCGTCAGTTTTCAAATATTGATTTCATATTGAAATGGTAGTATTTTTGGATAGAGAAAATATGAAACTTAATTGCACCCATTTCTCGGCTTTTAAAAACATGGCAACTAGGAAATTTAGGATGATACAAATAGTTTTTATTGGATGTCTACCGGACCATTAACATCAGTGATAAATTTTGGCAGTAGTAACTGACAGCAGTTGTGGGATACACAGACCGTCCCGTTCTTCTCAGGTATCACCCAACTTTGAACTTGCTTTAAACAGAATCAAACATAAAAAAAAAATCAACATGCCCCATTCCCACGATGTTCCACACACTAGGTTTTGGGGTGGATCTTTCTGGAGTTTTAGACATGCTACCTTGCTTGATTCTTTCTCCCATGTTGTTCTCTTTTAATGCTTTCTTATTATCATTACTGTTGTTATTATTATTAGTTCTACCTACATGTATGTCTGGGTGAGGGTGGATTATACTTGGAGCTGGATTACAGACAGTCAGGAGCTGCCATGTGGGTGCTGGGAATTGAACTTAGGTCCTCTGCAAGAGCAGTCAGTGCTCTTTACCACTGAGCCATCTCTCCAGCCCCTACCTCGTTTGATGCTTGTACCAACATTATGAGGTACATACCTGTATCACTCCATGTAAGTTAAGAAACTGCCCCAGGTTAGACTAACTAGGGTCTGACTTCAGGGCTGCTTGAAAATGAAACTATACTAGCAAATAAAATACTTTGGCAATGAGGGAAGAGTGATGCCACTCTGTCCATGTGATGTAAAGCCCCTCCGTCTCTCTGTGCTTTGCTTTCCTCCTGAGGGCCTGGACTCCGGGTGTCACTGGCTAGCCCTTGGAGCCCTTTGCATGCTGGGAATCCACTGCATCTTCACTTCGGTTCCATTTGCTCTCTTGATTCTTAATATCCTGTGCATGCCAGCCAGCCCAGTTAAGGAGGACCGGGTGAGGGATGGGGGCAAGATGGAGGCATGTTTAGCAAGGGAGGAAGAAAGAGCAGGAGGAGGAGGGAGTTCACAGCCCATGGGAAATTCTGCATGGGTTGGGGGTTTGGTTTCGGGAGGGTGGAGCGCTCTTGAGATTTTCTTGCAGAGCTCGGCACCATGCTGCAAAACTGCCTGCAGCCTCAGCAGAGATGTGCCTCTCATCCTGAAATCCGAAAACCACAGGGAGGATCTAGGAATGCAGTGGGAATGTACAGAGCTTTGGAAAGAAACCTTCCTTCTTCTTAGGGAGAGAGAAGGGGCTACTGGAAGGGCCCTGTTAGCATGGTTAGGCAGGAGCATGTGGAGTTCAAGTCTGGACTTCGCCTCTCTCCAGTCCCGTGACAGACAGTAAGCAGGCGCTAACCTCCCTATGCTGAGCTGCCTCATCTGTAAAATGGGATACAGCTATACTCTGCAGTGTGATGGGGATTAAGTGGCATCTGGCAATAATAACTCCTGCATGTTGGGTGCTTCTGCTTCACCGGGTCTTCCGCATGTGCACCGGGGCACTGAAGTACCACCCTGGTGTTGCCTGGACTTGTTATTTACTTATGAGGGTATATCGAGTCAGGTTCTTGTTGTGATATTTACCATGTTTTGAAAGATCATCTGTTGGCTTTCTTGCCTGCTCTTGGTGAGGTTAACTTCTCTGAGCTAGAGTGGCTCACTTATAAAAGGAGATTGAATTGGATTAGATAACCAGACTTTTCCTCCTCAAAAACATGGTGCCATTCTGGAAATTGGACATATTTATTGTCAGGAAGGCTAAAGGATAAATTCATATATGCATATACATATATATGTGTGTGTGTACACATACAGTTATTTTAAGTTTGGGGGATAGTGATCAGCTGTTTGGCTGAGGACAGGGCACTTGGCGACACACCTTAATTATTTGGGATTAGGCATTTGGAGGACATTTCTGACTCGAGAGTAATAACACACCATCCCAGCGGGCTTGTGACAACACTGTTGATGCTGACACTCAGTTGTGACTTCTCACACGTGTCTTCCCCAACTCTGAAGTAAAGTAGCTGCCCCTTACCGGTTTCCTTTTGTAGCACCTGAGATACTTCATAACTGCATCTTTATCCCACAGTTAACATTTTACAGCTATATGCAAAGACAGAGTTCTGCTATTATTTGGTCACCTCGTGTGTCTCTAGTTGTCACATGACAGGTGCTCAATAGATATTTATTGGTCAAATAGATGATGGTAAAGTTTTATTGATCCAGTAGTTGTGTTTTTAAAAATTGTGTGTGCGTGTGTGTGTATAGAGCCATCTTGCTGACCCAGATAATGGTTCTTGATGGGTATATGCCTCCTCTCTCTCTCTCTCTCTCTCTCTCTCTCTCTCTCTCTCTCTCTGTAAGAGAATTCTCAAAAGAGACCTCAGATACCTCTTCCAGCTTCCCCTGGGGGCTAGCCACTCCCTGCAAGTGTCTTCAGTTTTAAGGATGCTGCAGTGGCCTTCTGTCAGCCTGCGTGTTTTGGTGGAGGCGATGAATAGAAGCAGCAGGTGGCATTCCCATGGAGTCTGGAGAGAGCCTGGGGGTGCAGGCTGTGATGGTGTCACCGTTTCCACTTCTAGATTCCCCCTTGTCCTTATCGTGCTCTGTTCCTCGGAGAAAGCTGACCTCGGGGGGCCATCTTAGCTGAACCCCTGTCCACTGGCTCTGGAGAAAGCTGACCTCGGGGGGCATCTCAGCTGAGCCCACTGTCCACTGGCTCTGGAGAAAGCTGACTTCGGGGGGCCATCTCAGCTGAGCCCACTGTCCACTGGCTCTGGAGAAAGCTGACTTCGGGGGGCCATCTCAGCTGAGCCCACTGTCCACTGGCTCTGGAGAAAGCTGACCTCGGGGGGCCATCTCAGCTGAGCCCACTGTCCACTGGCTCTGGAGAAAGCTGACCTCGGGGGGCCATCTCAGCTGAGCCCACTGTCCACTGGCTCTGGAGAAAGCTGACCTCGGGGGGCCATCTCAGCTGAGCCCCTGTCCACTGGCTCTGGAGAAAGCTGACCTCGGGGGGCCATCTCAGCTGAGCCCCTGTCCACTGGCTCTGGAGAAAGCTGACCTCGGGGGGCCATCTCAGCTGAGCCTCTGGAGAAAGCTGACCTCGGGGGGGGCCATCTCAGCTGAGCCCCTGTCCACTGGCTCTGGAGAAAGCTGACCTCGGGGGGCCATCTTAGCTGAGCCCACTGTCCACTGGCTCTGAAGATGGCCAATATTGAGCGGAGATGGAAGATGAGAGGAGACAGCGCCGCACACTGGTTCCTGGGTTTACCAGGCTTTGAGTGCCTATGCTTCAAGCCCCAGGCCCTGTGTGGGACTTTGGCAAGGATCCCCCACCCCTCCTGCCCCGTCTCTCTAGAACAGCAGTGGGATGGTCCCCTGGCTCAACCACTATTCCGCATTGACTCTCTTTGTCCTTCCACACTTCTGTCAACGAGCACTACTTTAGATCTTTGATTCTCCCACGCAAACGAGAGATTGCTTTCACTTGGTTGTTCTTGTGACTACCTTAGTTGGCAGGGACCACACATCTAATTCCACCCCTCCATGTACCCTCGTGTGTGTGTGTGTGTGTGTGTGTGTGTGTGAGCGTGCGTACATGTGCATGTTCATGTGTGTAGGTGAGGTCTGGGATCAAGAAGAGATTGGAGGACAATTATGTAGTAAACCAAAATATCACTTAATACCTTTAAAATAGTTTTCTTTTTTTTTTTAATTTAGAATTCTCTGTCAAGAGTTTCGGGGAGTATTTCAGGCTTGGGGGCACCTAGGGTTTGAGCACTTGGGGGAAGAGTCAGAAGCTCTCTTTGGTCTCTCTCAGAAGCAGGCTGCTTCCAGCCCTATCTTTGCTTTACTGGCCTTCTGTGACTATAAGAGACAGTAACTTAAAAAGGAAATGGCTTATTTTGGCCGACAGTTTTCAAGATTCTAATTCCTGGCCAGGCAGACCCAGTTTTGGGGCTTCCCCAGATTTCAATGGTAGAGAGAGTGTACCTGGAGCAAACTGCTTGTCTCATGGCCGGAAAGGGAGAAGGGAGGAAGAGACCAGAGCATTTTCCACCAGGACCCCTCTCTGAAAGGTTCCTCAGTCTCTCAATAGTGCCACCCGGGGAACCAAGCCTTTAACACATGAGCACAGAGGGGAATGGGACTTTCTGTGTCCAACTACAGCACCCACTGACTTGCAGGCCCAGCAGGATAGCTGCTAATAACTGTAGAAAATACCCCGCTTTGCTGATTGCTTCAGGTTTGTGAGCCCTACCTCTTGCCATAGTTTTCCTTTGGCATGGCAATGGCTTCCTACCCTGCTGCTCCGGGGTCTGTTGGACATTCCTGTCATTCTTTTTCCATTGGTTTGGGGCCTCTGCTTCCCCTTGAGTTGATGAGAACAGCCTCTCTGATGCTGATAGCTTTTTATGGAACAAAGCAGAGCTGGGCAGCCAGCATGGCCAAGGGGAGACCTTGGAGACAATAGTAATCAGACATTGTTAGTGTGCTTGGAAGTTTTTAAAAGCCTTGTGGTCCTGGGCCCTGTTATTCCTCTTTATAGGTGGAGAAATGGGCTCCAGGCTCCTTGAGCATCTTGCCCTAAGCCACACCCTCAGAGTGGCAAAGGCAGGGCCGAGACTCAGGCAGTCTGATCTTACCTCTAGAGGGCACCCTCTTTGCTCTACCTCAGCTTGCTCCCTGGAGTGGGCAGGACTGAGACCTCTGGGATTCTGCACTGGTGGAGAAGTTGAACCTAACCCGAGTGTTCCCTGGTCTGCTTGTCAAGAGGCGATGGCACTGGCCCTTTGGCTCCTCCCCAAGAACTCTGTATGTTCCCAAAGATCACCCTTCTAGTCCCGCCGGCTTCTGGGTGCCTGACCAGTCTGTCTGTTGGTTTTTCCAGAAGTAGAGCTGCCCCTGAAGAAAGATGGCTTCACCTCTGAGAGTACCACACTGGAGGCCTTGCTTCGTGGCGAGGGAGTGGAGAAGAAGGTGGATGCCAGAGAAGAGGAGAGCATCCAGGAAATACAGGTACCCTGCCTCTGCCACGGGAGCCCCTGAACATACTTACCTGGCACCTGGCTGCCCTCTAGGGCAGGGCTGTGTCTGTGTCCCGAGGTTTTTGAAAACCACTACCAAGAAGCTTAGAGCTTCTTTTAAATTGAAAGCATCCCTCCACCCCAGGGGGAAAAAAATCATTGTTCCCTCCAATCTGTTCCCTGTTTTTTTTTGTTTCTGTCCGCAAAAGGTATCTGCTCAGCCTTCTGATCACCAGCTACTGTGCTGAGTCCCAAAGACATAGCGGGAACAAGATAGACTGATTCCTTACCTTTGTGGAAGAGGTAGCCCATCATCTAGACTCAAGAGATGGGGTCCCTGCCTCACCTCTGCCCCTTTCCTTACACCCCAATCTGAACTCCAGCTCACCAGATCTCTCAGCCCCTCCCAGCACCACCTAGCCATCCTCCGAAGCCAGCCTAGTTACCCTCTCAGGCAGGGACAGTTGCTTCGGTCCTCATGTGCCCACTACTCTCTGAGTACACCACCTGTAAAGCTTTTAGGCATCACTGTGATGGCGGGCGCCTACCATTTCTCATTCTCAATGTAGCCCAGATCCCTGTTATCTAATACTCTGGGGAGTACAGAGCATTATACTATCAATTAATCCGGATATATTATTGACAATGAAATATAATTAAATTATATTTGGATTAATTTGTATTATATATTAATTTTTATATTTTATGTCATACATCTCATATTCATTCATTTTATGTTAAATTTGATATTTAATTTGATTGGTTCACTAATTTACTAAAATCTTCATTAATAATAGTAATAATAACAAATATTTTGTTGCTTTGTAAATACTTGTGTGTCGGGGACTGTGGTGTGTTCACTATGATGCCCTCGGACCTTGCATGTGCCAGCATGGAGTTGACTTTCTATGAAGATGCTGGGCGAATCTGAATCTGCCTTCCTTTGCCCTTCCAGTGGGAAGATGAATGATCAAATCTCCACTTAGTTGCCACCACCTGATATATTTACCCCCACCTCTCTTTCCTCAGCTGTAGCCCTCAAGGAGAGCCTTACTCGTTTAGACATAGCCACCCTGGTGTCATCTTTGATGCTCCTGTCAATCTTACACCCAGCACCCCAGGCGTCAGCAATCCTGTCTGCAGTGTCTTTAGGAGGAATCGGTGTAGCCCACTGTCCTATATCCCTCTTGCTGTCCTGATCACGCTGTCCTTTTCCCTGAGCCGAGTGTCTAATTGCTTTCTCAATGGTTGCTCCACTCATGCCCTAGAAAGTCTTTAAAAGAAAGATCTCTTTAAAACCCTGAGGTCTTTAGGCTCATAGCAAAATGGAGAGAAAAGGTGAAGGGATTCCTGACCTCTCCTGTCTCCCTAAGCTTAACCTCTCTTATCACCAACATCCTCTGCCTTTGTTTCCATTGGTGAGCTGCCTTCCAGAGGCCTTTCTCCCCCAGAACCCACGTTTATGTTAGTGCTCACCTTTGGGTGCCCTGACCACTGTGATTAATGCCATACCCTGCACCCATCTCGTTCCTGTACTCTGCTTCTCTTTTTTCTCTTTATAATGCACTTATCACCATTTAGTATTCTTTGGATTTTATTTTTCATGATTGTTTATTCTCCTAGTGGAATATAGACCCGCCAAGGTGGGCAGCCTCTGCCTACCTCCTCACTGACTCATCTCAAGCACGCAAGCCCAGCTTGACACAGGTGCACAAAAACGCCTGCTTGAGTGGATGACTGGGGACCCTGACTCTGATCGTCCCTCTGTCCCACTTGCCCTGCTTTGCTATGTTAGTCTTAAGCACAGTTCTGCCTCTATCACCTCCTTCCTAATGTATCTTTTGCTTCCACTAAATAAATCTAGCACGGTAGCCATGGGCTTCTTGGGTTTCCTCTTTCTGCTTTAGGCTGGTGTTCAGACTACATCTCCCCTTCCTCAGCTGTCTCTTCTGAGCCTCTGGTCCATGTTTTCTTCCACCTATGACTCCATTTAGTCGTTAGGCCCGGCCCCAGTGCCACCTTCCCCATCGAACCTTTCTTGGTCCCCCATAACCAGAGCAGACTTTTTAAACTTAGGCGTTTGGGACACTAATCACTTTCTTCACTGTGTGTGTGTGTGTGTGTGTGTGTGTGTGTGTGTGTGTGTGTGTGTTTGTGTGTGCTTAGCTAGCTGTGCATTAGTCCCTGTGTTTGGACTTGCAGAGTTTGAAGCAAGGCGTGTCATCTCTGTATGCCCTGCTGCCCCGTTGCTAGTATTTTGCTCTATTAGTGTACTTTGACAGAATCAGTGATTGGTACAGAGCCGGTGCCCAGAAGCCCGGATAGCTAGTGACATACTGTAAAGCTGGGAGCAAGTCTGCTTTCATGTGGTTCTGGGTCAGGAGACATGCTGCTACTGTATCACCATCCTGGCATCAATCCTGGTGTTGGCAATGTGGCCTCCAGTGCACAGCTTGGCTGCCAGTGCACAGCGTGGGACTGTGCTGTCCAGGGCCACTGTATCACCATCATGGCATCAATCCTGGTGTTGGCAGTGTGGCCACCAGTGCACAGTGTGGGACTGTGCTGTCCAGGTTGCATGAAGCTGAAAGTAGACCATGAACCACTTAAGTTCTTATTGACTTTGCATTGCAAAATGGCATAGATAATAAATCGACGGTGTTCTCTTCCGTTCATGTTTACTCGACAATTCATGTATGCACTTGACTGATAGAAGTGGCTTTTTTTGAACAGGGACTGGGGTGCTGGTCGCCACTTGAATTTGAGCGTGTCATGCAGTTAGGAAAACAAGCGAACAAATAAGAGAATTGCAGTTTTGGATGAATGAAGGCCAGTAGGAGGAAGTGGCGCTGAAGGAGGGGCAGAGTTTAGGCAGTGTCCTAGGGGACATGGGTTTAACCACGGTCCTGTGGGATGATGGGAACCAGTGATGTAAGATCCCTAGGGTGATGGCTCTGAGACAGGTCAGTGCCCATCTTGTCCAGTGAACAGATAGAAGGCCCTGTGGTCAGAGTACAATGTTGGGGGTGGGGAGGCAGAACAGGTGGGCAGGAGCCAGCCCCTTCAGGCCTCAGGAGACCTAGTTGTGGCTCCTTTGGCTTCATGTGAAATGAGAAGGAGGCCTTGGAGGATTTTGTCCAGGGCAGTGAATTTGGATTTTATAAAGATTCCTTCCTTTCCTGTCCTGCATGGAGAGGAGACAGTGCAGGGGCGGTGGTGGAACTGATCAGTTAGGAGATCCTCCCCCCCCTCCCCCTCCCCCTCCCTCCTCCCTCTTCCCCCTCCCCCTCCCTCTGTCCCTCCTTCCTTCCCTTCCTCTCTCCTTTCTTCCTCCCTGTTTCTTTCTCCCTCTTTACTATTAAAAACACAAGCACAAATCATTGTCACCATTACAATCAAGGCTATCTAGAGTAATAGCAGGGAAAGGCATTTTCAGTGTATCTGTTTTTCAGATGTCTATGCACAGGGGCTGCCAGTAGGTGACAGGGTGGTGGGGAGGAGTCAGTTATGTTGGATGTCCTCCATCCTTCACTCCTACCTCCTGACTTCCGCTCCCCATCCTGAATTCCAGCGGAGTTTCCTTTGTTAGGAACTCGTGTCTCCTCCCATGGAATGAGCTGGGTAGCTGGGCTTCTGGATTCAGGGTTGCATGGCAGGAAATGATAGCACAAGGGGGTAGTGTCTCGGAGGCTGGTGTTTTAGACTCAGACTTCTAGAGTTACAAGCTGACGTCAAGTAGGATGGAACCTCGGGGAGCAATCAGATTGTTCCCGAACCAAGAGACCGTAAGACAGTTAGGAACCTGCCCGATGGCCTTCACCTGACAGGGGTATCAGAAATGTACTGAGATGCCAGAGGCAATGGCCTTTAGGTACCAGCACTTGGAACTTGCTGTGATTTGATGGGTTCAAGACCTGGGAGGTTTGTAAGATACAGCCAACAGCAGTACCCACAGTGGTACCTAGCACCCATCCCACGATTTTTACCCAAGGTGGTAGAGCATCTGATCCGGCCTTGCCTGGCTAGACTAGTGATCCCATTTTAAGGTCAGGAAGTCAAGACACTTGCTCTGGACCCCAGTCAGCATCTTCTAGCGATGGGCCAGAGGCCGCATCTAGCTGATAAGGACATTTCTCTTTGATGTTGAGGTTGGCAGAGCTATCTGTGAGTGCTGTGTCTTAGTTTGGGGTTACTATTTCTGTGATGAAACACTCTGATCAAGGTTGCTTCTAGACCAAAGCATTTACTTGGAATCTTGCTTACAGTTTCAGAGGGTTAGCCTATGCTCATCGTTAGCAGGCAGGCAGGCATGGTTCTGGAGGAGTAGCTGAGAGCTCACATCCTGATCCACAGGCAGAGGGGGGGGGCAGGGCTGGCATGGGGCTTTGAAACTTTAAAACCTACCCCCAATAACACACTTCCTCCAATAAGGCCACACCTCCTAATCCTCTCTAAACAGTTCAACCAACTAGGAACCAAACATTCAAATCTATGAGCCTGTGGGGGCCATTCTTACTCAAACCCCCATATGCTATCAGCTGCTGAGAAGAAGTCAGGGGACATGAGTTCACGAAAAGCTCCTCCCACCTTGTGGGTCCCTGACATGGACTTGACTGGGCTCCAAGACCATTTCTTCCTATCCTGCTCCCCAGTAGACTGGGTCCTCCCTAATCCTTTACCTCACCTTTGACCTGGAGGTGCATTTCCTGCTCCCCTTTCCATCTGCAGAGGGAATGAATGCTCAGGTTCTGCCTGAGTGTCTGTTGCAAGGCCACCAAGGAGTCTCAGTAGCAAGGGCTGGGGAAGGAGTGGGAAGCCAACCTCACCACGCTGACCTTGCTGTGGTCGTGATCTTGCTGGACAACTGTGAACATCAAAACTGTTGTCAGCCTCAGTTTATGCACCGTTAGAATGGAAACTGGCTCTTGTAAGCTGCCGTGCTCTGAGGGCTCATTTGAATGTATGAACTTGAAGCTTTATTGTAAGTCATGGGCTGTGCTGAAAATCTATTTATTCTTCCCCACCCCCACCCCCAGACAGAGCCTCACACGTGATAGTGGCTGGCCTTAGATTTCTATGTAACTGGGTGGAGGTGGCCTTGAACTCCTGTCTCTCCTGTGCTGAGATTACAGGCCCGTGTCACTAACACCCTGAGGAAAATTTATTTTTCTTAAAAACAGCTCCACAGTAGATTACTCCAGGTGGCATGTTCAGGATGTATCTTGGCCAGTTAGACAGGAAGTTTCTTGCTTTCATCAAGCAGGGCAAAGTTTCACAAAGGTAGAGAAAGGAGAAATGGCTTTTTTATGTTCTCAGGTGGCGTTTCAGAAATAAAGGAACACGCCATTTTGATAAGGCAACTTGGCCCCATGTGGGAAAGCATTCTTAGGCTTTTGCCAAAAACCTCTTTTTAGGGAGTGGGGGGCTAAAACGAGTTGAGAAAGGCCAGTATTCTGGCAAGATTTGGTTGGAAGGGGCCTGAGGGTTTGAAGGAGTACCAGCTGCCAAGAGACGTCTCACTCCTTGGCGGCAGCAGTACCCCTGCTTTGCTGAAGAACAAAACCCCAGAATACCCCAACACACCCTTTGATGGTTCTCCCTGCTGTGGCGTTTCATCTCTCAAGTTTTGTCTTTGATTTTCTTGTCATTTTAGAGGGTTTTGGAAAATGACGAAAATGTAGAAGAAGGGAATGAAGAGGAGGATTTGGAAGAGGACATTCCCAAGCGGAAGAACAGGACCAGAGGACGGGTAAGTGGGGAGGGGGGCGCGAGGGAGGAGTTCAGAACGCCAAGGCCTGGCAAGCTGTCAGTCCTGCTGGGGTTGACAGTAGTCCCATCCCTACCTGGATAGACACACTTGGATGGTCTTACTCAGAGACGAGGAAGATGCTAGGGGAGCCCAGGCTGAGCATGACTGGAAAGTTCAGAGCCGGCAAGAGGGAGGAGAGGAAGCAGAGGTATCTCTGAGGGGCTTCGGCTCGGGAGAGCAGAGGGTGGGGAGAGTTGTCTGAGACCCCATTATGAAAGGAGGTCTTGTCCTGCTGTTTCTAGAGTTTTTTTTCCAGAATGACAGAATCAGGACACCTGCCTTGGGACATGCTTCCCTGGGCAGAGAGAGCAGAAGCCGGTTGGGGAAGGAGGCAGACTGTGACTGGTGTTTCCCCTGAATGGATTTTGCATGACCTTTAGAGGCACATGGCCCCGAAATGAACAAGGAAGGGGTCAGAGGTGGAAATGGCAGAGAAACCCTAATGGGGAGAAAGAAAATCCTGGCTAGTTCCCAAGGGGAAGGGAGTGACCAAGACCGTGTCTTAAGAAGTTCTATTTGATTCTCTAGGGTCTGGTTCAGGAAAGTGTTCTGGAATCACCCCCAGTGGCATCCAAGGGCATCATGACAACCGGGTGGAGGGGGACCTCCAGGGGAGGACTATGACTCTTCACTGGAGAGTCCACTTTTGAGGGCCAAGGGTCTAGCTCCTATTAGTTCTAGGTAGGACCACCCCTACCAATGGGTGAGAAGTCAGTCCTGTGGGCCCTGTGGGTCTGGGCCCACTGATAGTTACTGTAAGCCTGCACTGTGTAGACAGTAGTGCCAGGGAGAGGATCTATTGAAATTAGGCACCAAGGGCCCCTGTTCAGTTATTGGGTCTGGGATCAGGCCTTGAGCTATAGTATAAACACCTTCCCAGGTGATTGTTCCATGTGGTCTAGTGCTGGCTATGCTGTGCGCTAAGATGCTCCCATTGTTGATAAGGGCCTCAGATCTCAGTCTGGGCAGGCCTGCTATCGGATGGTGCAGTTTTATCAGGCTGCTACCATCTTCATCAATTACCAGCATTTCCACCATTTTGTCAAATGCATTCATTTCTCCTACTTATTGTTTGTTGGTTTATGCGCTTGTTTCCCACTAGAGTATTTGGAAGTAGATCCTGTGCATTTCATTATATAGCCCAGTGGGTACCTCTATTAGGTACTTTTATACAAGGCACAAATATTCCTTATTCTAATGCCTACTAACTACACTTACATATAACTATACATATATACACATATATATAGCGTGTCCACTCTATATATGCTGCCTGCATGTTAATTATCTAGCAGTTGTCATATCAGATAGGCTGGTCGTATTGCTGTGCTTATGTTCAAATAACCCTTATTATACTTACCAGCCTAGAAGTGCAATTGTTATGATACCAACAATTCGTATATGTCAAAGAGAGTCCATCAGTACTTTCCTTGAAGTAAAAGAGCATAAGTTCTCTTCTTACATTTTGAGGAAAGTGTTATATGCTAAGGTTGGCAAACTCTGTAGTAGGAATGACCCTTCTCCCTGTGAAACTGTGAAGGAGAAAGGGATTTGTGCTGCATTTGCTCTTTCACCCCAGAAGAACAGAAGTTGGGGTCATGGTACATGATAAATACTTAGTTAAGATGGACAAGGCATTCAATTATAGGGCTCATACAATACTCTCTGGGGTTCAGGAATCCACGGGGTGTCTTGGATCATGTTCTCTGTGTGTCAAGAAGCTCTCCGGTTGCTTGGAGATTTGACTAGATCCAGGATCTCTGTGTGTATGCGTGTGTCTACTCTGAGGGGTTAACATCCTTCCTGGGTGGCGATACGTACTTCTTATTACTCCGGGTGTGTAGGTTGCATGCTGCCTGCCCTTCTGCCTTTAGCGGTGTTTGAACTGATCAGAGCGTCTGTCGCGGCCCAGTCTCTCTCCTACGATGTTCCTCACCAGGGTTTCATCTAATGGTTCTCTGCAGCTGCGGATGAACTTGCTTGGCCGTGTTATTTCACCTTGGTGTGTGCGTGGCAGTAATAAAAGAAACCTCTACTTCGTCACTGAAGGAGGCATAGGGGCATGGAGTTGCTGTGCCTGTTGTGAATGCCAAGAGCTGTGTACCTCCCAACCTGCTTCCACCCCTCTCCTGCCCCTGCCAGACTTTGAAGAGTACACTGTGGAGCAGGGTCCTGGTTCTCCGGGCATGAGTGTCGAAGATGGAAATTGCCGTTAGTGAGTAGGGCTTGGCTGTCTTTTCCGTGGAGGTGTCAGGAGCGACAGCACCGCCTGGCCCTTATATACACTCCAAACTAGACAGAGTCGAGGGCTCCTGAGTGAGCCCACGATAGAGAACCATGAGGCTGTTCTGGGGGTTTTATGTTCTGCAGTCTCCGTTTCCGAGAATGCATTGCAGCAGCCGCTGGCTGCACACGGCTCCTAGCACATGCTAGTCCAGATTGGAAGGAGCTGTAAATACAAAATACACACTACGTTCTGATGTCTTAGAGTGACGAAAAGAATTCAGAACACCTCACTGTTAATTTTTATGTTTTTAACAATAACTCTTTTGTTATGCCTGGTTAAAAATGTTACTAAGATTAAAGCATGCCTCTCTTTTATTTTATTATTTAATTTTTATTTTTGCTGGTTTGGGGATGCTGGGGGCTGAGCCCAGGTTTAAATGTGCTAACTGGTCGCTAACCACTGAGCTACACTCCCAGCTAGCTCATCTCATCCCTTTCAGAAAAGCAGTTACTAGAAAATGTGGCAGCACAAGTGTGGCTTGGTGTTCTAGAAAGGTTAAGCAGCTTGCTCAGTTTTGCTCAATCTGGTCAGAAAGAAAGAATTTGAAGACAAGTTATACTTTTCCTACTGAGTCCTGCCTGGCCCGGGACCCTGCATGTCTAGGCTGAATGAATGAACTGAATGAGGAGGGCAAGGAGAAAAGTCATGTTTGAACTTCATGACTGGGTGACAGCCAATAGCTCCGGTTATACAGCGAGCGACATTGCGGACATGTCACCATGCTGAGAGCCATGGAGGAAGCAGGGGTGTTGTGAGTGAGTCTCTGGGCTGAACAGGGGTGGGAAGCTGCCTCGCCCACAGCTCTGAGCCTTTACATGGGTGTGCAGCTGCCGCTGGAACTTTCTGGCCACTGGAGCAACCACATGGGGCCTGACATCTGCCTGTGTGGTCTGGGCTCCAGCTTCATCCTCACCCGGGAGCTTGTTGGGAACGCAGGAGCAGCCCAACCTCCATCATACCATTGACAAGACCCTAGCTGCTCCGGACATGCGGAGGGGGCCAGGCCTTCAGTAGTGAGTTTGAAGCCAATCTTAGCTCTACCACCTACTGCACCTTGTGTAAATCATGTAACTTCTGTGACCTGGGCCATCAGCCAGTTGGGAATAATAGCACAGAGTCAAAACTGAGTGCCCAATAAAGCCTTTGGAAGCCAAGTGGCTAACTTTCTGAGTTTTAATCCCATATGTTCTCTGAGGGGAAAGGACAGTGCAAACCCAACAACTAATAATTGTGTCAATGTCAACTTTAACCTAAGACATTCATGAAGTCCTTGAGACAAATCCTTGTATTATCAAACAATCAAATTAGTAATTAGTAATCGTTGGTGCACTCGTGGTGAGCGAAGACACCAGGGTGTTGTTTAATTTCAGCACCTTAATCTACTGCTATCTCAGCCAGCAACTGCAACTCCGCAGCTATCAGCCTGCTTCTCTGGCAGCAACCTGGCCTCTCAGGCTGCAGCCTGGTGACAATTCTGCTTCCGCAGGCACCGGCCCTGTTGCTGCCACTAAAGGTAGCTTTAACTAAATCTCTATCGTCCTAGTTACGAATGAGACTCGAGTCAAAGACTGGGAACACCTGTGAGCCCATAGAGGCTGAGCAGCAGCTGGCTAACCCTCTCTCCTTGCTGGCATGCAAGGAAGACCCACGCTTCCGCTTCGCCAAACCAGGAAAACCTGTGTCACCCCAAACCCCTGCTGTATCTCTTCCCGTGTCTCTCCATCCTGGATGCGCTCTGAGGTGCTACAATTACTTCCTAGTTGCTGACACAGCCTCCTGACCCCAGGTTAATTTTATTTAATGAACACAAATGCAAACTCAGGGTTCACAGTGGGATCAAATATCCCCCAACCCCAGAGGTGTTGCCAAAGAGCAAATTCTGGTGTGCTAGTTCTGGGGTGTGGGGGCTAAGTCCTTGCCTGGATGATAATAAGCTCCGGGGTATTGCTGGTCTGACGACCAGGCATTCAAGGTGGTTGAGCAGTCCCCTCCCCTTCTCTCTCTGCCTCGGGAATTCTTTACACCCTTAACAAATACTGACAGCCCTCAAAGCTATTGTTCTGAGTATAACAGGTGGCATTAATCTCATAATGATGTGCTCTATTCGAAATTAAGACAAAACTCAGCTTATGAATGTAGCTCATGAATATACACGAGCACCCTGAAGGCCCTGTCAAATGTCATGTAGCCTCTGGAAAACCCCGCTGTATGCTTGTGAGAAAACGAGAATGAAAAAGGCGATTAGTCTTTTAGTGGCACCAGGAGAATAGCTTTTGTCAAAAATATTTATTTTTTAATTATGCCTGTGTGGTCATGTGCAATGAGTGCAGGTGTCCTCAGAGGCCAGAAGAGGGCGTCGGATCTCCTGGTTGTAAAGCCAACTGTGGGTGCTGGGAACTGAACCCTGGTCCTCTGGAAGAGCAGCAAGTGCTCTTAACTGGGGAGCCATTATCTCCAGCCTATAGGGGAAGAGGCCTGATGCTCATCCCTGGATACTACTCGAGAGCAGCTTTTGTAGAAAAACTAACTTCCCTTGCCTGGAGTCTGTCTTCATTCTGGGTCTCTGTTATAGGAAGCTCAATGGCTTTAAGCTTAAATGAGAAGGATTTGAAACCTTAGGGTCATAGTCCCAAATGTGAGTGATCTTTGAAGATCCAGATCACAAGAAGGGTAGGGCGGTGATGGAATCAGGACTGAGGAGATTAAGGATCCTGTCTGTGGCCTCAGCGTCCTCTCTCTTCTCTCTGTTACCTGGGTTTCCTAGCTCCTCTGTACACAAGGACTCTAGAGCTTTTGAGTTTATGAATCCATACAATTCAGGTGACCAACAGAGCTCACTGCTTTCAAGTTCCAAGTCCCTTAAAGGTAGACTCTGGTGACCCAGGTTGGAGTTAAATTAGGCTTGGGATAGCAATTACTTGACTCTTCCTGAGCCTTCCCACTTATGGTCAGTAAGACTGTACCACAGGGCCCCCAGTGTGTGAATGGAAAGATGAGCATCCTCAGGGAGGGAGGACGGGTCACATTTGGAGGGTAAGGTTCAAATGGTTCTATATCAGAGTCTAGAAACCTGTCCTGCTCTTTCCACTGGCTCTGGGACTGTGGGCAAGTCATGGACTCATTCATAACTGGCACCAATTGGCAAGACAGTGACAGCGGCATGACTGGTCCCAACTTAAAGGACTCTTCCAAAAGCCCCTGAGCTAATATGTGTGGAAGAGCTTTGTGTTGTGCACACAGCAAAATGATAGGGTTCATGATAAACTATAAAATGCCATATTTCCCCTCAAGGACTCAAGACTCAAACTGGGGAGATGCTAAGACTCACAATACAGTAAGAGTACTGCAGACTTCTCATGGCGTGCTAACCAAACATGAAGCCCAGAGGATCCACACGGTCATGGAGGGGTCAAGAACTGACTGAACACTTCCTGTGGGCTTAATGCTATGTCCTGTGGCTTGACACTCCTAACCCTAGCTGTCACAGCAACTGTGCTGCAGGGGTGTTTCTCTGTCCATTTATTTATCCACTTATATTTGTATTGACTGAGAGAGACACAGTCTTTCTAAGTAGCCTTGGAATTTTCTGTGTAGACCAGGTTGGTTTAAACCTGCAGTATTCCTTCTGCCCCTGTCTCCTGAGTGCTGAGGTAACAGATATGTACCCACATATCTGGCCTGTCGTTGCCCATTTTATAAGTAAGCTAAGGCTCAGAGGGGTAGCTCGTTCTATGACACACAGCTGGTGCTATCTGTTGTTTGGATATGGCTTGTGTGTCTGTGAGACTTCGTGTGCTGACATTTAAAATCCTTCGGGAGATGTGGAGAAGTCAGAGATTGGATGGCTGTAGCATTTAGAAGGAGCCTTTGGAAAATGGCTAGGATTATTAAGTAAGGACAGGGTCAAGCTTCCTGATTGGTTCTTGAGGGTCAATAAGAAGAGGGAGAAGGGGTGAAAGAGAAACACATGCGGTCTCCCTGTTTCACCTATGGATTTTGGTAGCAAGAAGGGTATTATGAGATGAGTCCCAAACAAGTTGCACCTCCAGATCCATGAACCAAAATAAACCTCTTTTCCTTACCAAAGTCCTTACCTCAGGCTTTTTGTTACAGTAACGAACATCTGACAAAGACAGCTGGGATTGAAGTCTAGGCCCATCAGACTTCAAGACAAAGCTGGCTTACTCTGCAGTGCGGCAGGAGGGTTTTGGGAGAAGTGGGACGCTGGCCGGGCTGAAATGTAGGTTGGCGGTGGATGGCATGGTGGAGGTGACCATAAAAGAAACCATGAAAACAACGATGTAGACACAGCGTGAGGCTGGGGTGAGACTGTTGGGTTGGCGGTAGGCTGCCATTGGCCATGTATGTGTGTCACAGCTGGCCATGGAAGACCTCATGCTCCCACTTCTTATTCCTTTCAGGCAGGTGGTCATGCAGGATGGGTTAGGCTGGGCAGTGGGGAGGTAGAGCCCTAGCCGGGAGCTTTCCTGGGGAGTTCAGGATCAGCTGATGTCCTTTGGGCACTGGGATACAGATGAGGAAGAGGAAGAAGAATGGTCAACTCAACAGTGGCCTGATGGATCGATGCAATGACCTGCAACTGTTTAAGGAATGCACTTGGTTCCAGGAATAGTGGTGGCCCACGCAGGACTCTACCTCTCGTGGGACAGATAAAAAAAATCAACGAATGAGCTAACACATGTCCATGTAGTGCCGGATAACAACAATGCTGTGACCAGACAAAAAGCAGAGGCAGAGAAAGAATGAAGCAAGTAGACACCAGTGGGCTGGGGAGGGCTTCATGGAGGAAGTGGCATTTGAGCAAGACACGTAGGATTCTGAGTTGATGAGCTTGCGTCTTCCAGGAGGTGAAGAATTCCATTGCCTTAGGAGAACCCACATGCATCGCCTCAGATGCCCTCTGGCCCTTATCTCTATTGGGCAAGACCAGTGCGTGTGGAGTGTGGGAGCATGCAGCTCCCTGCTGGTCAGCCCAGCAGCAGGGGGAGGGAGCCTGGCTCCCAGCAGCACCCTTCTTTCCCTCTGCTCCCTCTGCTGCCTCCCTCAGAAGCCCCAGGTGCTCCTGTTCTCCCCTCCTCTCCTGCCTTGACACAGGGCCAGTCTTGTAGAGCCCCTTCTGGCATTTGCTGTGGCCTCGTCATTCTGCCTGACTTAGTTTTACCTGCTCCAGGGAGCTGTGACAGGGCTGCTGGCTGTGCATGTCAAGCTGTCTCTGGCCTCACTGAGGAGGTGCGGGGAGGGCCAGGGCCCTAAGGTGACCACCTTTAGCATCCTAGACACAGCGTCTGTCAGTGCCTCAGGGTGACGGCCAGAGTTTGCAGCTCCTCCGGGGCTTAGTTCTGCATAACGAGGGCATGGGGAGGAAGAGGAGGAGGAGGGAAAGGAGGACGGGAACTACTACTGACTGTCCATAGCAGGGCTTGAGCTAGGGAGGTAGTGAGAAGGAGGGAGGTGGAATTTCACTTTTTTTCTTCCTTTTCCAAAAAGACAAGCTGAGGAGAAGACAAAAGTGATAGTTTGGCAGGTGGAGTTGATTGTGAGGCCTGTCTACAGGGAAGCCCCCAGAAAGAGGTGAAGACTTACATTTGTGAGTGTGTATGTGTGGGGGAATCCATCCCAGGCCTCTCCACGGTGAATCCTCTGCCCACTTCCCTAAAGCAGATCCTGGGCTGGCACTCCGGACCTCTGCCCTGTCGTGTTCCTCTCCGGCTGACCTTCCCCTCTGTCCCGGAGACTGCAGCCAGCCCTTTCCACGGCTGGGAGTTTACTGCTACCCATTAGCAATGCCTGACCCGGAGGAGGCTAGGTGCGGCAGGAAGGCCGGCGTGGGGCTTATGGTAGCTTATACATAAGCCTTGCTCTTTTCTGGTAGCCGCTGATTGGGATGCAGAGCTGTTGGCAGCCTTTCAGGCTCATCTCTGTTACCCCTGAAGTCTTGTTTCTTATCCCAGTCCCCCCTGGTCACATGACCCACCCAGGGAGACACAGGGCTAGGGTGGGTATCAGGAATCCAGATCTAATTGACTTTGAAGGTTAAGGTCCCCAGCTGGAGGGCTGAGGTTGACCTCGAACAGGAGCCCACCCCTACTGTGAAGGTCAAACATGGTGGAGGAGGAAGTGTGGGCCCAGGAACCTGGGGGAACACCGTAGTTCTACTCCCCGTCCCCCACCCCCAGGGTGCTCATCAGGTGACCAGCGTGTACAGCAAGCAGCGTGGCATCTTCTACACTGTCAGTGAGGTAGAGAGGCGCTGTGTGGTGGAAAAGTAGAAATCCCTGTATTTGACAGATATGGGACTGCATCAGTTAGACTTGCTGTGGGAAAGCCCTGGAGAGAGTGGGGTTTTAGTATGGCTCACGGCTTCAGAGGGGTCAGTCGCGGTTGGCTTTCTCCATTGCTGTGGGTCTGCGGGGAGTCAGACCCTCACGATGGCAAGAGTATATGGCTGCACAAAATAGTTTCCCTCACAGTAACCAGGAAACCAAGGGTGTTCAGGACAAGTAAAACCTTTAAAGATGTAACCCCATGTTTTCCCTGCATAGTCCAGTTTGCTCCCCACCTCCGCACCCCCACTGGAATAATGCTGCTAGCTGAGGATTTTCATAGTCGGGCCAGGCCATCTCCTTTCAGTCACACGTCCTGTTTTTATTCTGGCTCTGCATTTGGCAGATGAATGGCCCTGGGGAAGTTACTCCACTTCTCTGTTGCCACAGTCCCTTCCCCTATACAAGAGGACCACTATTATAAACCTCCTTCTTGGAGTTATTATGAAAATAATAGGACGAGCCGGGTGAGTAGCTGAGTGATTTGGGACAAGTTACCCGATCCCCTGGGTCTCTGTTGTCTTGCTTGTAAAGCAGGGTTGGCATGGGAACAGGGGCTGTGATGCAGGTGGTTCACGCGGACCCTCAAGAGTGTATGCCCATGAGCTGAGTGGCTGCGGTAACAAGTGTCTCATGCTCAATGTCTCCTCAGGCTCGTGGCTCTGCAGGCGGCAGGAGGAGGCATGATGCTGCTTCTCAGGAAGACCATGACAAACCCTACGTGTGTGACAGTGAGTATCTTGCGTGCTGTGTCAGCCAGTCTTCCTACGCTGCCTTGGCAGCTCTGGGCCACACCAGGCTTTTCTGCTTCCAGCTCTGGGTGGCCACATTCCCTCCTGTTGTCACTGCTGTGGCGGGGCTCTGGGCACTGTGGACGGTCTGGCAGGGGACTCCACCCTCTCCGGCTGCCCTCCAGGATGCCAGGTCTTCTTTCTGGCTTTCCTCCTACGTTCTCCCACGTTCTCTGTCTCTTTCGAGACTCATCCTCTGTATCTTTCTCCAGTTCAGAATCACAAACAAAAGTGTCACCCTAAACTCTCCGACAAAGGTGACTGGCTCCTGTCACTTTCCATTTCTTTCCCTCTAATTCCATTTCTCTCTCCTTCTCTCCTGTCCTAGGCAGGACTGGTTATGAATCTTTATATGACGATGGCTTTAATGGCCCTCGATTCATCTGCACCCTTCCTCTACTGATTCAGAAATATCACTGGAAGAGTAGTTACCTGGCTTCCGTGTTAGAGTCTGATGTTAGAGGCCAAGGGAGGGGGACAAGGAGGGACTGTGGTCACCAAGAAGGCGGTAGCTTTCTTTTTCCTCATATGCCAGGGTAGGTTCCACAGCCCGTGCCCTGTTGGCTATCACTCCATTGGGCATTTCTGCCCACTCTATGGCGAGACTAGCCATCAGTAGCACATGCCTGGGGACCTTCCTTTCCCTTCTCATCTGCTATTGAAACCCAGAGCTTGGCCACTGGGACCAGGCTGCTCTGAGAACAGCAGGAAGCTAGACAAGGCAGGGCCTGGCATGGTGGTCCCCCTGGGTGCCTCTCCATCTTGTCCAATCCTGCAGCTCTACGAGGACAAAGAAAGCCAGGGGATAGTACATAAGGAGCACATGGGGTGGTTCCTTCCCCCAATCCCCTCACTGGCCTCTTGATTTCAAGATATTCTGTGCCCTGTGGAGATGACGTCTGGTTGGATACATTTTGCCAGAACTCAAACTCCATGGCGTTCATTTGGCTGCTTAGTACCGCACGCAGATGGCATTCCCGAGATGTCTGCAGGTCGTGTCGCCATCCTAAGCAATTGTGTTCCAGGAAGAGAGGGGATCAGTGCCTGGGGTCTGGTGGCTTTTGGCAGGAAGCTCCAGCTTCGGTCTGGGCCTCACTTCCGAATAGCATTTACTTGGGTTCTGATATGTGAACAGCCCAAGCTTGCTGGTCCTTGGGAGACTGGGCAGAGGGTAGGATTTCCAGCTGTGTACGGCACCCGAATAACAGTGCCAGCTCTTGCTTTGAAGCTGAGACATAACTACTCCGTTTCTCTTTTAAAAAGCTGTTTCCCAATATGTGATTTTTCTGCTGTTACAGATAGTGGGATTAACTTTTTACTCTATTTCTGCAACTTCAGAAAAAGGTCTTATTGCGTTGATGGGTGATAGATTGTATATCTGGCTGGGATGTGCACGCGCAATGGCTTGTGTGGAGGGCAGAGGACAGCTTGTAGGAGCTGGTTTTCCTTCCCTCTGTGGGTTCCAGGAATTAAACCTAGGTCATCAGGCTTGGTGGTAAATGCACTTACCAGCTAAGCCGACTCTCTGGCCTCTTTCTAGAATTTTTGTGGCATTCCAAGGAGAGCTCCTGGCTCTCCTCTTGGCCTGGCTCCTGGCGCACTTCTTGCCTTGCTCCTGGCCCTCCTCTTCTGCTCCGAGCCCTTATATCATCCTGCTTTTTCCTGGCTCCTGGTCTGCGCTTTTAGCAGATCCTCTCCTCCAATCCCCCCAGCTTTGATTAGGGCCCCTTGGTGTCCTTGGCTGTTTTCTGCTCCCCTCCCTATAGGGTCACTTCCTCCTCCTGTTTCCCCTGAAGAAAGACTTGGAAGACTCATCACAGGATGGCACCAGCTTTCCGGAAGTCTCCGCAGCTGCTTCCTTGACTCTGCCCACATACGTACCTCCTCCCTCCCCCACCCTCCTGCAAAGCAAGGTCCGTTGCAGTTTGCCCTTCTTCATTCTGGCTCTCTCAGGACATTGTGTGACAGCTTGGTGATTAATGGACTTTATTTTTATCTGGTGCCCTTCAGACAGGTGATCCCTAGGCATAGAAGTGACCTTTGGAGAGGTCACGAAGCCCACCCCCTCACCCCTGAGTAGGACAAGAAATGCTTTTAATCATCTCTAATGCATCCTAACTAGAGAGGTGTCCGGTCGCCCTCCTTCAGCATCCCATGGGATGGCGCTACCCACTAGCCGCCCTTTCTCCACCATTCCAGCTGTGTGTGTCCTTAATGAGAGCTGGAACTGCTCTGTCTGCCATGTCCCCTTGTCTTTTGTGTCTCCTTCCCCAACAAGTCGGCATGCTCAGCATTTTGGTCTTGCATCCTCTGTATTCTTGCATGAACTTGGATCTGTCTTACTCCACAATCCCGGTGCCATCATCCTGCTCTGAACTCCCGTCTGGAAACACTTCTGCCGGAAGCAGCACAAGGCCAAGTAGCTCAAAGGATAGATATTGCCTTGTTTGATTTATCCACCAGTTCTTGGAATGACCCCCATTTTCAGAGAACACCCAAGTGCTCTGTGCACGCCAAACCACTTCCCGTCACTTCCTATTTGTCCAGCACTGGGTCTGGTCTCCAGGTGTAGACTCTTTCTCCTGAGGCATTTGATTATCCTTCTTCCCATAAATCACTCAGCGTTTGGCCCCATCGAATCTCAATAAGCAGATACAATAACGTGTGACTTCAATATACAAGATTCAATAAAGGCAAATTTAAAGACATTGCCCACTAGTTAAATTCCATTCTCCACAGACGTTGCGGTCCCTGCCATTTTTGTATCGTCTGTGGTTTGATTTGCATAATTCTCACTCCATCTTTGGAGTTATTTATGAAAATATTAGGTCACCTTGGACCGCAAACACCTCTCTCTGGATTTATGTGGGTTGGTAATAGCCATTTCTTTTCAGATGCGGTTGTGCCCCTTCCTAGTATGTGTTCTTGAATGTAGTAGATGGCTTTTGATGTTGGCGGTCCAGGATTCCCCCACACAATGGGTGGCTGAGATATTATCATAGCAGATAACTTCAGATGATAGAGGTTTACTTTTTGCCTTTCACTCAGCCATTAGATTTATTTCATCTCAGAAATACTAAATCATCTAAGTGTAATTTATTTTCTTCACCCAATCTATGGTGCGCTCATGAATCCTTCATGTTCTAGCAACTAACCAATCTCTATTAATTATTTTGAAATTTTACCGAGCTGAAGGCTTAAAGTTCCTCTTCTCCACTATCTGCCTTTTGTTTCGGGAAAGGTGTTCATCCCGTTCAAAACAAAGCAACAGAAATGGGCTTTGTGGGCTAGACTGCTGGTGTTTGTGGGTCTGGACCACCTGTGCAGAACTAACCTAGACACTCATGAACATGCAGATTCCAGGCTCTCAGGGCAGACTTGCTCCATCGAAATCTCAGGAGTCAGCCTGGAGCCCACATGGTCCTGCACTTCTCAGGGGATTCATAAGCATGCTGATGTTTGAGGATGGCTGGTTCTCCTCTTTCACACCTGAGGACTTTGAACATCCAGTCCTTTCAATGTTCGCTGCCTGGATATCTCTCTCTCTCTCTCTCTCTCTCTCTCTCTCTCTCTCTGTCCCTGTCTCTCTTGTGTATTTGTGTGTCCCTGTCTCTCTCTGTGTATATATGTGTTATATGCGCACTTATGAGCTTGGCTGCATGCACATGTGGATACCAGAGAAGATATCAGATGCTCTGCTTTGCTCCTTCCCAGCCGGGTCTGTTTCTCACTGAGCCTGGAGCTAGCCTGGTAGCCAGCAGGCCCCAGCCATCCTCCCAATTGCAACTCTGTACAGTGCTGGGGTTATGGGTGCCCATCCTGCCACAGTGTTTTACATGGGTGGTGGGATCAGGACTCAGACCCTTATTCTCATATAGCTTCTATCTGCTAAGCCATCTTTCCAGCTCCCACGCCTAGAAATCTTACAGCCCCAGGATTCTCTAGGCAGCTGGATGCTGGCTTGCTTCGCTGCTTTAGCTGGCTTCCTTTAACCCTTTCCTTGGTCGTTCTTTCAGCAATGACAAAGCTCGGCCATCCAGTCTAACACACAACACTCCTGCACCTGATTTTTATTTACTCGGTCACATAAAGCCCTGCTAGTGCCATTATCACATGCTCTCGCCGGGGTGTTAAGTGGGGACAGACGTGAAGAGAATCCTTGGGTGTGGGCTCCTGGGATGTGTTTGGAGTCATTGCCTGAGTTGCTCAGCCTTGTCCTAAGGGCTTCCAGTTCTGAATCGCTCTGTAGTGTCCTTGTCCATCAGGGCAGACTCCCAAGGAGAGACCTACTTTCATAGTTTCTTTGTTCAAGGAACATGACAGAGAAGAAGATGGTGGTGACATAGAACATTCAGTCTGCACATGGGAGGCATTCTGGGAGGGACAAGAAAGCCCCTGTGTTCTTGCTGGACCCAGGGAAATTTTTTCAGTCTTGTTAGTGTGTGCCTGTAGCTCGCAGGGAAGTGTGCCTGGAGTTTTGTAAAGACTGTCTCCCATAAACACCTCCCTCCCCCCCCCCCCCCCCACCACACACACACACAGTAAGCTTGAGCCACAGAAACAGCTGGCTTCACTTTTCTGTGAGGAAACTGAAGGCTCAGAGAGGTGAAGGGACTTTCCCCAGGTCACACAACCGATCAACAGTAACCCCAAGACACGGACCCTACTTCCTTAAGCCCTAGAAAAGTCACAGTCTAAGTCTGGTTTAGAGCGTCCTCCTATCAGGGAGTGTTCCCAAACGCTGAGGGGGAAAAATGTTTTAGAAGTTAGTTAATAAACATGCACCAGTCAGGTAATAATTGTAATTGAATAGAGTACATGATTCCTAGGCTTTTAAATGTAAATCTATTAAAATCACACCACACTAGAACATTACTGGATGTTAGTGACTCATCTGAGTGTGACTCACCTCTGGGTCACACCTGGTGTTGACACACCAA